AAATGTTAAGTATGTTTTCACTAAAACTCTTCATTGAATATTATATAAGGTTAGCAAGATTTTTTGAGTTCAACTCTAGGAAATTCTAACATTGATGCCTGTAGACATTTGAAAAAACACTTTGAAGTACATTATGTAGTGCAGTGTTTTAAAAATGGCATGTCTCAGATCCCAGTGGTCATAAAGTCTATGTATGGCTTATGATCACCCTTAAAAACTAGAATAGAATAGAATAGGAGTAGAGTAAATAGAAATGTCAGAGTTCACTTCAAGAAGTAAGAATATGTGTTATTTCATGGAAATGTTGTCACCATTCCAACCAGAAATTGGCACAAATGCTACTGTGTCAGGGTTGTAGCCAATTTTCTTAATGTAGGTGCTGACTTCCTTAACGATTTCCTCGTTCTCTTCTGGCTGTAGGGTGGTTCAGTGGAATCCGTTTTGTTAACACCAACAATTAGTTGTTTTACACCCAGTGTGTAAGCCAGAAGGGCATGCTCACGGGTCTGCCCATTCTTGGAGATACCTGCTTCAAATTCACCAACACCAGCAGCAACAATCAGGACAGCACAGTCAGCCTGAGATGTGCCTGTAATCATGTTTTTGATAAAGTCTCTGTGTCCTGGGGCATCAATGATGGTCACATAATACTTGCTGGTCTCAAATTTCCACAGGGAGATATCAATGGTGATACCACGTTCATGTTCCACTTTCAGTTTATCCAAGACCCAGGCATACCTGAAGGAGGCTTTTCCCATCTCAGCAGCCTCCTCAAATTTTTCGATAGTTCTTTTGTCGATCCCACCACATTTGTAGATCAGATGGCCAGTAGTGGTAGACTTGCCCGAATCTACGTGTACAATGACGACGATGTTGATGTGAGTCTTTTCCTTTCCCATTTTGGTTTAGGTTTAGCGGTGGTTTTCACGACACCTGTGTTCTGGCGGCAAACCCGTTGCAAAAAAGCTTGAACATATTTTTTATCATAGATTTAGTAGCAAGATTTTATTTATTTATTTGCAAGAGAGAGAATGCATGGAGAGGCAAAGGGAGAAGCAGACTCCTTGCTGCATGGGGACCCCCATGTGGGGCTCGATCCCAGGACCCTGGGATCATGATCTGAGCCGTAGGTACATGCTTAACCGACTGAGCCCCCCAGTGCCCAAATTTACCTTTTTTAGAAAGCATACTTTAAAGTTGACTTACCAAAAATAAAAAAATAAATAAAGTTGACTTACCTCCGCCCCTTCCACATCTGATGCTCTATCAAAAGGTTCTGTTATTTGTTTGCTTGTTTTTGTCCCAGCCCTTGACATCTCTACAGGCACAAGTACGCACATGGACACACACGCACGCATGTGTGTGCATAAGGACTGGGGCCTTTTGTATCTCTATTCTATCTGTCCTGTTCACTATCGAATCCTTAGAGTCTAGCACAGTGTCTGGTAAAGAGCAAGTGTTCACTATATATTCATAAATGAAAGAAGCATCCGGTAACTTATGTTATCAAAACAGACTGTCAATAATTACGCATTAACTCTCAGTTAACTATTAAAATCAGGATTTTGCGAGGTTCTTTAAGAAACAAACATGCCGGGATCCCTGGGTGGCACAGCGGTTTAGCACCTGCCTTTGGCCCAGGGCGCGATCCTGGAGACCCGGGATCGAATCCCACGTCGGGCTCCCAGTGCATGGAGCCTGCTTCTCCCTCTGCCTGTGTCTCTGCCTCTCTCTCTCTCTCTCTCTATCATAAATAAATTAAAAAAAAAAGAAACAAACATGCCTTATTATGGCATTCAACTTCTCAAGAAGAGAGAACTTCTCAACTATTTTATACTCACAACTACCTTAGAAGGTAGCAAGCCTGGAGTGTTAATAGTTCCCATTTTTAGAGAAGAAATTAAAACAGAAACATGTTAGGCAGTTGTTCAAAGTCTCACAGTCAGTTCATGATGGAAGTTGTTCTGATCCTCTGTTTTGGGTGGTGTTGACCATGCTGGGTTTTTAAAAAAATTATTATTATAAGTTGCCCCATACTGTGGAGATTTGGCAGGGACACTGAAATACTAGAGGTAGATGTGCTTTGAGGATAGAAGCATCATTTAATAACATGTGCTGTTCTCATATTCTTACCATGTTTTATTGTCTTCATGTAATATCAATGTCTTTGCGAAAGCTTTCCATTTTGATTGAAATAATTCCAAAGACCGACACGCTCTTGTGACCATGATCTGACTGCAGTTGGGACTGCCTTGTGTCTTATTGATAACAGGAAGTCTAGTTTTATTGAAACAATGCTTTGAGGTCTTGTAATTGTCACTTGAGGAGAAAAAAATTACACATTTCCCTGGATTTTGTAAAACTCCAGATTCTGTCATTAATTGTTTGGCCTCAGGCAAGTTGCTTCACTTTGCTGGATCTGTAGGCAGAGAGATTCTGGGGCTGGGGGTGGGAATAGGTCATTGACAGGGAGGCTAAAAATCTAGCAAGAAGAGTAAGTAAAACAAATGTTTTTAATGCTTTTCCATTCTTTTCAAGCCTATTCACTCCACAAATTTTAGTCATATTTGGTTATGAAATAGATCAGGATTTTACTTATGTTTTATCTCTTCTTTTTGCTGTAATAATATCATATTTTCATATTCTTCCATTTTGTGTTTATAAGACAAAGGACTGTTGCCAGAACTTTTTGTCTGTCAGATATACCGACTCAACACTGGTTTTATAAGGAGAAGTCAGGCATGAAAGATAGGAGGTTAATTTTTGCCCAGATGGTGTATAATCTGTGGGTCAACAATCTTTTTCTGAATCAAGGCAGAAAGCATTCTTTTCAACAAACTTTTGATAGGCCTATATTCCACTTCACCCTTGTGGAAGAGCCTGGAATTCTCATCCCATAGACAATTAGTCTTATACTTATGGAGATTTCAGATACAAAGAACAACTATAAGAGCACCCAGCATGATGTCTTTTCTTTCCAGGTGAACAAAGGGAAGCCCAGGCAGGGTAGGTAAGTACCATGTAACTAGATTCATGATGCCCAGGGACCTAAAGTCCTAAAGTCAGGGAAAACCTCTTAAGAGAAGCTATACTCAAAAAGGAAATTTGGAGATAGGTAAGTGGAGAAGAGTGAGATGAAGTTCTGTGAATGAATGGCTGTGCTGCAGAAGGTTCTAGCTCAGGAAGCAACTGGGGACAGGGAAGGGAGGTCCTATGTCTGGAGGCAGCAATGCACATTCAAGGATTAGAGAAGTCAAACATGAGAAATGGCCAGAAAAGAAAAGGTAGGATCACGGAGAGTCTTGTACACCTGGTTGCGGCTTACCTGCATGCAGAGGCATGGAAGTACAGGGGGAGGAAGAGAAAACCATTCATCATCATGCTTTAAGGTATCACACATCTGAAATTGTCCTAGAGGAGTGGTTCAGCACGTGGCTTTGATGTCCGACTGTCACATCTCAGCTATTTAGGTAGGTAAGAGGAAAGTTGCCTAAATTCTCTGTGCCTCAGGCTACTCATTTGTAAGTGAGGATGACCATGTTACCCATCTCATAGGATTTTGTGAGAAAGTTGAAACTAGTCAAGTGCCTGGCGCTAGGATGGCATCTCTGAGACTTTTCTGATAGTAGTAGTAGCAATAATACCAACCCCAACCACCACCAGGTCTGGGGCACTGCAAAGAGTAGTAGTATCTATGCGTGTAGTATCTGTGTGTGTAGATACATAGATCCACAGTCCCTAACTGACAATTCTAAATTCCTAAAGCTCTAAAACCTGAATGTTTTATCCAAAGTTTGATGCAAACTTCTCTGGCAGCAAAAGCTGACCTGAATGGATTTGAGGATACTGATGACCTTTATTTATTCCACTTAGTATGAATATCTGGACCTCTCACCGTGGGAAAGGCTGCTGCGTTGTACTCAGAGCTCTGTCCTGGGCCATGCTGGGAGAAACAGCACTGTATGCTCTCCTAAAACACACACAATTCTGAATCCCAAAGCACATGTGACCCCAAGGGTTTTAGATGAGGGACTGTGAATCTGTATTACCTCGTTCAATCCTCAGCATATCCCTCACTATAGATATTTTCATCCCAAGCTGGCTGCCTTGAAAAACAGGTTCATCAGTAGTTTCGGTTATGTGCCTGAAGTCCCACTGTTCATTAGAGGTGGACTTGGAATGTCGGTCTGGGGTTGCCTGACTATGCTTGAAGAATCAGACACATTTGTGTACTATCCTATATCTTATTTATGTTTATTAAATTTTTTAGTATTTTGCATAGTTTAAATATTTCTATTTTCGAAACAGCCATGGTTTGTGTCTCTTGGAAATAGAAGCATTTTCATAACCTTATAGTTTTCCAATACCTATAGGTTTTATAGATAAAAGACTCATTTTGTAATAATAGCAGTAGGAATAATAATTATTATCACTATTTTATTTTATTATTTTTAAAAATATTTTATTCATTTATTCATGAGAGACACAGAGAGAGAGGCAGAGACATAGGCAGAGGGAGAAGCAGGCTCCATGCAGGGAGCCCGATGTGAGACTCAATCCTGGGTTTCCAGGATCATGCCCTGGGCTGAAGGCAGGTGCTAAACCGCTGAGCCACCCTGGCTACGCTTATCAAGCATTTTTAATCTTTACTCATTTGAGGATGAATATGGTTATATTTTATATTGCAGTTTAATTTTAAATTTAGTTGTTGATAGTTGTTGATTAGTTTAAATTCAGTTTTTGTACATTTATAAAACACTTTGTATTTCTAAAAACTGTCCGTTCATATCCTTTATCCTTTTCTCCATGGGGTTGCTGAATTTTTCTTATTGGTTTGCCAGTGCTCTTTACCTATTAACAATGAGTCTTTGATCTGTCTTTTATGTTGCAGATAGTTTTCTGAGTCTGTATTCGTCATTAAATCCTTTCACAGTGTTTTTTTTTAATATAGTTAAATTTTGGTCTTAGACATTAATTCTAATTTTGTTACTCTTGCTCAGGTGTCCTAACAGAACAAGCAGCAGGACCTCGGGGACAGAATCTAGACGTGGAACCATACTCCCAATACAACAATGTTCAATTTCCACAAGTTCAACCACAGATTTCGTCATCATCCTATTATTCCAACCTGGGTTTCTACCCCCAGCATCCTGAGGAGTGGTATTCTCCTGGGATATATGAACTCAGGCGGATGCCAGCTGAGACTGTCTACCAGGGAGAGATTGAGGTAGCAGAGATCCCTGTAACAAAAAAGGCCCGAATGGGTGCATCAGCAGGGAGAATAAAAGGAGATGAATTATGTGTTGTTTGTGGAGATAGAGCATCTGGATACCATTATAATGCACTGACCTGTGAGGGGTGCAAAGGTAAGCATTTCTAGTTGGCCATTTTCTCCTTGAGGTTTTACTCTATTGGTTGTTGAAATCCTTTAGACTGGATTCTTCCCTTTTCCCAGGTAACTTCCCATTTTCTCTTCCTCCACTCTGAGCTGTTATACATCTTCAGGAAAAGTCTTTTAGTGCATTTAGCTTATGTATAAATGAATATAAGTGAACTATTTCCTGTTTACAACCCCACACATGGTTAAAAGAAATATATGGATTGTGGTGGTGGCGGGGGGGGGGGTGTTGTTTTTTGGTTTTGTTTTTGAGAGAGAGAGAGAGAGAGAGAAGAGAGAGAGAGAGCTCAAGGGAAGGGCAGAGAGAGAGGGAGAAAGAGAGAGAACCTAAGTAAGTGCCATGCCCAGCACAGAGCCTGACATGGGGCTCAATCCCCCCACCCCGAGATCACAACCCGAGCTGAAATCAAGAATTGGGTACCCAACCATATGAGGCACCCAGGCACCCTGTTATTTTTTAAAAGAAAGAGAAACTGTTGAACTCATCTCTTTTAAAACTGAGATCAAGGAGAATAAGACTTTATTATGCAAGGTATTTATTACACATAAATGGTAAACTTGTTAGTTCTAATACTTCATTTCCACTGTATAGATGAAGAAAGTGTAGCACAGGTGGTTGGTGAACTTACTCAAGGCTTCCATGGATTAGAGCAGGGAAGCTTCGAATCTATAGCTTATGGATCTAACTCTAGAGCCTCTGGTGTCAACCACTAGGCTACCATGTCTTTTAATCCTTGCCTACTGAGTGATCATTCTACTCTTGGAGCTATTTGCTCAAGACTACTATTTTTTTTTCAAGACTATTGACTAAATCAACGGCCGAAGTGTTGTATTGTTTGGATCAAGGAATAAGCCCCTAAAGTCCATAATGTAGGCCAGTTCACCTCCTTATAGGTGGATACTTGGTGAAACCTGGTCTTCCTGAGAAGAATCTGGGGCGTCCAGGGTGACTGGGGTGAAACCAGTGTGCCGAGGACAACCCCAGAAAGCACTGACTTTAATAGCAGGCAGGGGAAGAATAGCCCCTAAAGGATATAGAAGGAAGCCAGAGATGGGAGGGTAACAGGAAAGCACAGGGTCATAGGACACAAGGATCCAGAAACGTGGTCAAGAGACAACCCCATCCTTGGGCGGGGGTTGGGGGGGTGGGGCAGGTTAGGAAGGTAAAGCTGGATCTGGATAAAGATAGAGTTTTTAAGAGCAGAAAAACGCAGAACTCTTTGGTTGATTCTGATTTGGAACTTTGCCCCCAGGGTGGGAGCAAAAGGACCAGAGGGCGGGGAAGAGATGAGATGGAGTCAGGAAGGGCCTGTGTCCTACATCAGGGGTTGGCAATGTTTTGTGTGTGTGTGTGTGTGTGTGTGTGTGTGTTGTTTTTTTTTTTTTGTTTGTTTGTTTTTTTTGTTTTTTCTGTAAAAAGAGAGTAAATATTTTAGGCTTTGCACCATAGTCGTCTCTGTTGCAATTACTCAACTCTGCAAACACACCCACCTAAAGAAGAGGCAGGCGGCCTGGGTGGCTCATCGGTTTAGCACCACCTTCAGCCCAGGGCTTGATCCTGGAGACCTGGGATCGAGTCTCATGTCGGGCTTCCTGCATGGAGCCTGCTTCTCCTTCTGCCTGTGTCTCTGCCTGTCTCTCTCTGTCTCTCATGAATAAATAAATAAAATCCTTTAAAACAAAAAAAGAAGAAGAAGAAGAAGCATAGCTGTGGTTTTATTTAACCTACAAAAATAGGCAAGGAAATTTAAAAACAAAACAAAAAACCCCCAACCAAGCAGTAGGCTGTATTTGGCCCATAGGCCTATAGCTATAGTTTGATGACTGATTTTCTAGTCCAATGACTGGAGGGTGAGTGTGAGAACCAGCTGGAAACTGTGTAGTAAGAGACTACAGCACTCGGCATGGATACCAGAAATGTAAACTCATTTTGTATACCTGGATTGAATTCAATTTCAAGCCCTAGTGGAAACTATATTTTTTCTTCAATTCGGGATTATTTTACTCACTCCTGCTCCTGTGCTGCCCTGAGCCTGGGCAACACCAGGTGCCTCTCCAGGCTGTCTCCAGGAAGGTGCACAAGGATTTTTCTGTTCTAGGATTCCCAAATGATGTGGGGTTTTTATCATCTTTCAACACACACATCCTAGGATCAGTCCCGGCCCAAAGGTGAGAGGGACGGAGCTCAGGGCCTTCTCATGCACTTCACATGTCTTGTCTCTCTTCACTTCCTCTTTATTGTCCTACCTTTCCCAACTTAGGGGAAATTTAGTCTCTGAGATCTTGAGGCTTAGGCTTTGGTGACAAAAAGCCAATAACAAGCTCCTTTGTCCATTGTATATATTCTTTTGAGGAAACAAATGAATACTATCCTGGCTTTGTGATTAGGGAGGAGGTTACAGCACAGGGTACAGTACAAAGGAAAGGACCAGAGTACCCCACACCAGGAAGGCCTAACAGCTCGGCCACCTTGGTCCCTGACTCCACACCCCTTCAGTATCTGTGCTCACCAGATACAAAATTAATCTTATTCCATAGCTTTCTATCAAAGGAAGTGTGTGGACTTGGGAGTTTCACAGGCATGCATTGAATCTAGACCATAAGCCTTGGCTGAATAAGCATGGTCCTTAATAATATCAGTCAGAGTTCAGTGAAATAAAACAGAAACCAAAATTTCAAGCAGTAGGAATTAATATGGGAGAAGTTGGAAAGGCAGAGGAGCAGGTTCTGTGCCAGGTCTTGGAGAGGATGATCAGTGTCATACTGCGAAACTGGCCTGTCAGGGAAGTTGCTACGGTCAAGGAAATGGGGAAATGGGAAGCTAATTCGGAAATGTTGTCTCCAGAAAGACCACCATAGCTGCCATCTAGGCATCTGGAAGCTGCCTCTTCCAGAGCTATGGCTTGCCGGGAAAACCTGTACACATATGTGATAAATGCCCTATGTCTTGCCTTTCTTTTTTTTTTTTTTTTTCCTATGTCTTGCCTTTCAACACCCTTGAAGCTAGCAACTGGAAGCCAAGATGCTGCCCCAGCACAATTCCACAATCCTGCTTGCCAGCAGAGACGACAGTCTTGCAAGGGCACATGTCCGACATAGCTTACATCATCTCCATAGTCTTAGTTGCAAGGGAGTCTGAGAAAGATCGTGTTCAATTCTGCTGCCTTTACGGTAGAGAGTGCACATTGGAGTCGAAGCAGGAGCTGTGGACATCCAGCCAGCCAATCCTCAGCTTATAGATGTTGCTTCTCTGAGCCTCCAAGCTGCAAACAAAGGGTAATATCTGTTCCACAAGGTCTTTGTAGAATTAACTTAATATTATGTGTAAAGATCCTGGCAGCTCTCTTGCTTTCGGCTTCCCTGGAGATCTGTCAGTGATGCTTGTGATGCTTACACACACACACATACACCTACACACACCTGAGAAAATGCTTAAAAGCTTAAAAACAAAACAAAGACCATAGTTAAACATTCTGATTTCATTGGTCTCATATCTGTTTCTATTAGAAATATTTTAACCTTAATAATGAAGGTTTTATTGTCGACATTTATGGCATCCACAAGAGAAATTTCAATACGTTTTTAAAAGTAATAATTGTAAGAGCATAAGCATAGCACAGTGACAATGCCCACCATTTGCTCAGCACTAGATTAAATCAAGAGCTTTCTCCCCCCCGCCCCGCCCCCCGTGATCAGCAGGGCTTATGAAATTTTGCTAATGTTTGGATGAATTTTGATTCACACTTGAAGTGTCAGCTGAACAAAGCTGATCTGCATCTGACTGGAAATTTCAAAACGGCTACATTTCCAAATAGGTCAACGTCAGTCACATCCATCTCTAGGCTGGGAGAGTCTTCACTTATCAGCTAGAGAAAGGTAGAATTCGTAAAAGAAGTTTTGTGAGTAAATGGGTGACCTGTTGTCCTTTTGAACATATTCTTAGTCCTGACATTCTAGAAAAGACTCCATAGTTATTGCAACTGTTCTGGTGTGTAAAATAGATGCGGAGTGTTTCCAATGGGTCAGGGCTGAGGTAGGTGCCCTGACTCACACATGAACTTCCTGAAATCCGATTTGATTTTGAGGTCTGATTTTATAAAATCTGATAATGATCCTACTGATCTCTGTGGGTCAAACTATTTTAGAGTGGGATGCAAGGGGGTAGGGCTTAAACTATGTCACTGCATTGGAAGTAGTTTTTTTTTTTTTAAGATTTTATCTATTTATTCATGAGAGATACACAGAGAGAGAGGTAGAGACAGAGGCAGAGGGAGAAGCAGGCTCCATGCAGAGAGCCTGGTGCAGGACTCGATCCCAGGACCTGGGATCATGACCTGAGCCAAAGGCAGACACTCAACTGCTGAGCCACCCAGGCGCCCCCTGGACACCTTTTGTGATAAGTGTTATAAAATTCACAGGAGGAATCAGATTCTGACAGCAGACAACCCAGATTTCAACATCCCCTTCCCCCACTGCTGATTTTCTTCCCAGCTGTTCCAAGTTAACTCAGTGTGTCTGGGCTTTAGACTTTTCTCCTAATAAATGAGGATAATTAATAAAGATGAGGAGAAGGAGGAGATGAGGAGAAGGAGGTTGAGGCTGAGATGAGGATAATGGTGATGCAGCTGGGAGATAAGATATATCAAATAATTATTATGTGCAAGCTTTATCTGGAGTTTTACCTGAATTAGTTTGTTTAATCTTCAGGACCACTCTTTGAAGTAGGTACCTAGGGGTCAGTGGGAGAATTAAACAAGATCTTATGTATAAACCAATTAACATATGACTTGCCTATGGTGAACCCTCAATAAATGTCCATTATTATTATTATTATCATTGAATTGTGAAGAAAAAAAATGAGAGATTGTTTTTGAAATGTCCTGTTCTATACCTGGCACACTTAAATGCTTTGTTGGTGAATTCTCATTATTTTATTTTTGTTACCCTTCTTCTCATCTAGCCTCCCAA